TCCCAACGAATGCAATACAATGGAAAACAACAACAGTTGGGTGATGCAGGTTCTGACAGTCGGTCTATCAAGAGCTTTTGTCCTGAAGGTTCCATGTGACCTCTGGGCTGGGGGCATCACACATCCAGATGCCACCAACAGAGGAACAAATGCAAGAGAGGCTTATGTCTCTGCCTCCTGCTTCTAAGCACCCCAGAAGCATCTGGCCTGCTACTGTAAGAAACCAAAATGCTGAACTGAGGCTGTCTTGCCATCAGCTTGATTCAGAAGAGCTGTTTTTATGACAAGAACAGGCGTATCTAAGAGAGCACTCTGATATAAAGGCACCACGTGAAAGGGTATACTCAAGCTAGCTTAATGCCAGCCTCAAATGCAAAAGAAATGGGAAGCAGTCTATCTCAGCACCAAGAACGTAAAAATAAACACAGCATGCACACACCTCATCCTTTGGATCCTTTGTATTTATTTTTAGCACTCTCTCTAATCAGGAAAGTTGTGAATGAACAGCAGAAATTACAGAAACATTCTGGAATTACAATATGTTACACAAATCAGTTTACCTTCTTCACCAGCCTTTGAAGGTACCCTATTCATATTTCTTGTAGGACGAGGTGGTGCAGGTTTTGCTTTGTTGGTCTGTTTGGAGATGAGCTTTATAGGAATACGCCGACGAACATCAAGACCACCCAAAATTCCAGAACTATTTGTGCCTTGCAAGTCATTGTCTGTATAAAAAAACAATGAACACACACAATATGATATGCCAGTTTCCATTTCTCCAGGTCTGAGATAGCATGGAACCTCTTCACAATTCTGGACTATTTTACAACCTAATTGGAGCCTACGTTTGGTACACTATCCTTTAATTGCTAAACCAGAACCAGATGTAACTACCAGAGTTCTCTGCAACAACAGTTTCAACAATTGTTGAAATCTGAGTTGAACACATATGAAACCTTAGTGTAAGCTCTACAAGAGGCTTAAGAAAGCAGAAAAAATGTTAATTGTTCCCAGAAAATGCAGGAATGAAACAGAAAATGTGCAAATCGTGGCCCTGTCTACTTTGCACACTGCTCTGTCCAATGCTGTTTAACTACAACCCCTTAAGAGTCATTCTAAGCTATCAAAGTGGTTCCAGCTCCTGTCCTCTACTCACTCTGTCCAAAAGTTTCTTTACAGCAGGCATGGACATGGAAAATAAATGTTTCATTCATGAATGACAGCATATGCACTATAATTCTTCCTTAAGAATAGTTTTCGATGAGAAACGTAGTGATATACAAGGTGTTTTTACTTAATACTTGAAACAAAATGATTTCAGTGAAAATATTCCAATAGGCTGTTAACAGATTTTAAGTGTCAACCAAAGAAACCCAAACATATAACAATGTTTACTAGAAGTGTGGCACAGTAGATAAACTCACATGATAAAACTATACCTAGAGAGTACCATTTTAGAGACCATGTTGAAGAACTGCACATTTGAAAGTTCTTCCACAAAAAATCTTATACCTAATAAATTAATGTAGGGATAAATGTAAGTTGTAACTCCCTCTTTTTTCTAGAGTTTAAAATGAGATGGTGCTTTTTTACCAAGTATCAAAGTTATTCATGTTCAAGATATATAGTAAGACTGATATGTTATAAAAGTCTATTTTGGCATTAATACAGCCCAAACTACAAAAGAAAGTTAAGCCCTAAAACCAACACTAGAAGTATATATGGGAAAGTATACATTGTGTATCAGAACAACTGAGAATTTAATTTAATTCATGTACATACTTCACATGTGTTGTCCAATTATAAGAGATTCTCATCCCATAGGATCTTTGAATTTCTAACATTCTCAAACTCATATTATGCTCTTGAGCTATTCAGCCAATAACAGCAGCAGTGCAGCAATACCTACTACTGTATATACACTCACAACAGATAATAGCTGGATAAAGAAAACTATTTAAATTATCATATACTTTAATATAGCAGCTTGTAAGAAGATATGCAATCCTTCCTGATCAAGATAAGATAGAAAGATGGAATTTTAATCACTGATACACAGACATGACGTAGCTGGAACATGAAATGCAACAAATAACAGCCCCGTAGGCAAAAGTTCTCAGTGCTTATTCAAATGATCTTAAAACTGCCAAAATGGGTTTCCATCAATACTTACTAAGAGCCTACCAGATAATTTAAGCCAGCTGAACCCTCCTAGTAAATTAACCCACTAACAGAATATTTATACATGATCGTGTCATCGCTCAAATTAAGCTCATATGGCTTCTTGTATTATCAATTCCAAATCCATATTGTCAACTTTACATTTATATTGGTGAAATGACTTCTGGGTAATGCCATGTGCAACAATGAATATGTGCACTAGCAATTCACCAAGTTTCTTCAGAATAGGTCGGAAATCAACCCTAGCTGGCAAAAGATGTTATGTCCATTTTATATGGCCTCTATTCAATGGGGTGGACTGCTCGCAGCTAATCACCTAACCTCCACATAGATAACAGTTGATAACATTTATATTATTCTTCCTCACACTTACCAGTGGAAATGGGAAGAAGCTTTATTTTATCTATTTATATTATGAAATAAACCATCTGACAATGGAAATCCCCTATGTTGTAAATTTTTTAAAAAATGTGTCACAGTAAGAACAGCAGCAAAAGGAAAATGAGTAGTTTAATGACATTTCTGAAAAAGCAACAAATGTATTACTGCACACTCTTGTATACAGTAATGCTTCAGTTTTTAAGATACCATAGATTCCTAACTATTTTTGCTACAGCGGATTAATATGCCTATCCCACTGGAAACTATTCGAAGTCAATTACCAGAAAGCAAAGAAATGCAACCACAGACTCGTATCAACTTAAAACACAAATCAGAAGGAAAAGCCTCTGAACTAAGCAATGTTAAGACTATAAGTGTTGTGCGACAGTTACGCCCCTTCCTGGATCAGGAGGGCCTCCGCACGGTCACTCATGCCCTGGTCACCTCTGGGTTGGACTACTGTAATGCGCTCTACGTGGGGGTACCCTTGAAGAGTATCCGGAAGCTACAGCTGGTACAGAATGCGGTGGCGCAGACAGTTCTTAGGAGGGCACGTATAACACCGCTGTTGCGTGAGCTGCATTGGTTGCCAGTTTGTTTCCGAGTCCAATTCAAGGTGTTGGTCATCACCTTTAAAGCCCTTCATGGCATGGGACCGGGTTATTTGAGGAACTGCCTCGCCCCGGTCATTTCAGCCCGCCCCACTCGGTCCAGCAGAAGGGGCAGGTTGCAGACCCAACCGGTCAAGGAATTTCGATTGGTGGGGTCTAGGCAGAGAGCCTTTTCTGCTGCAGTGCCCGCCCTATGGAACATCCTGCCTCCTGAGACCCGGTGTGCCCCCTCCCTCGTGGCCTTCAGGAAAGGGATTAAATCCTGGCTCTGCCAGAAGGCCTGGGGGCCAGAGGGGGGCCCGCACCTGAGGAGATGGCTGGTAGGGTGATGGGTTGTCCCCCCCCCAGCATCTTACAGGTTTTTTAGGGCTAAAATCATAGGAGGTTTTTAGGGCATTTTTAATATATGTTTTTTAATTATTTATAGATTGTATCCATGCTTGGAGAGACCTGTGTTTTTTCTTCTTTTTCATTATTGTGAGCCGCCCAGAGTCACCCGTTGGGGGAGATGGGTGGCATACAAGTCTGAAATAAATAAAATAAAATAAAATAAAATAAATAAAATTGTTAAAAAGACCCCCCACCACAATGAAAAAGGCCTTTTCCCTGGTGCCAGATGTTAGAAGAAGCCCTAGGCAGGGCGTTTTCCGGGAGGGTGTTTTCATAAGCCTTCCAAGTAAAGAACTGTATTGGAACATCTCTCTCTCCGTCATTTGTCATTTGCCATCCCTTACTGTGTGGGTGCCCTAGGAGAGGGCCCTCTGAGTGGGCAACTTGCTGACTGCCAGATCTGCTTGAACTACCGTTCTCAGGCATTGTGGTCACTTTGGCTGGGAATTATGGAAACTGTTGGTGAAACTCATCTGATAGGAGCAGGGTGGGGAAAACAGTGCTGCTCTGTTACAAGGAAGATGGGCGCATGATGTCATCCTGGGTCTTTTGACACCGAGGAGCGAAATTCTGATGCTCTAAAATTGTGAATAAGGCAGCCAACCAGGCTAAGGAAGGCCAGGAAAACCAAAAAAAAAACTTTCCTTCAATCTTTCCGCATAAGGGATGGATCCGTGGAGCAGGTGAGTCTCTTTAGAGCAGTGTTTCTCAACCTGGGCAACTTTTAGCGGTGTGGACTTCAACTCCCAGAATTCCCCA